CAAAGGGTATTAGTTATTCAGAAAATACCCTTTTTTTTAAAAAAATTTGGCTTAAAAATCTCATCAATAATTCCGCCGCTGTACTTTCCATCAAAAAATGTTTTTTTGTGGCATTTTTTCATTCCTCTTCATTTCTTCCCGATGGTTGTCCTTCATTTTTCTCTATTTAATTTCTCTATTTAGCGAAGGCAAAGAGCAAATTGTTAACAAAAGTTGATAATAAGCAAATTTTAATTAAATACTATTTCTTCATTAGTGTTACACTCCATCTTTGTCTAGCTTCTTGATACTATGGCTGAACACCAGAGAACGATATATGTACGTTAGGCAATCCCATCTTTAATAGTTCTTAGAAGTAGCCTAGACGTATGAAAAATTTTTTAGCCAATCTGATTATTTTATCCTCACACGACTGGCTTAAGAAAATTGGAGAATATTTAGCTTCTTTTCATCGAAATATAATCACATTTAGATAGGGTAAATATTTATTTATTGTTTCGATAATATGATGACTTTCAGTACTATCAAAATATTTACTAATACTAAATATTTACATAGTACTTCATCCTAGTGTTTGTTTCTAGAATTTAAGAAAGTTGAACTTTGCTAAATTGTTCGATTATCTGGCAGCATCAGGTGGTAATAATTCTTTATTGGTATTTACTGAGTGGACATTTGTTCAATATTTCTAGAAATTATTTAATTTTATTTATTTTTATTTTACAACGATTTTAACCATTTCAGAAATTTCGAACCAGAAAATTGATGAGTGCTTGCTATTTTAAATTGCATTTTAATTTTAATTATCAACTTGTTTTGATTATTTTTATTATCATTGAATAGATTTCAATGTCCAACTTCAAAAGTTCGAAAGATTCCAAATTGAATTTAGACCCATCTTCTCGATTGATGTTCTTAGTATTTACGTAGCACTCTTAAATCAACTTCTTTGATGATCTGAGGAAGATAATCCATATCCATATTCCATATTCGGATTTGCTTCTGTGCTTCTCGCATCCAAGATGACTTTAAATGTTCCTGAATTTCAGGAAAATCTGATGGGAAATTTGCAATATACATGTATTATATACGAACGGAGATAAATCAACGGTTTTTGAATAATATTGATTAAATCTCAATTTGCCATACCAATAATTTAAATTATTTCTAAATTATGATTAATCTGAAAGATTAATTACGCTACATTAAAGCATTATTCCTGATGATATCGGTACATCTGTTCTTTTCAGATGTCTAATTTTATTCTCTTCAAATATTTAATATCTAATTAAAACTGAAATTAATGGAGATTTACGCGGTACTGGACACTGTCTACTTTTGTTCTGAAGTGGTTCTCCGGCAATGATGTTTTATCCTAATTACTAAACCAGAAATGGTGAATGGTATTAAAGGAAGAAGGAAATTGCCAATGGACAAATAAAGGTGAATATGAATTTGAAATTTTTTCTGCATAAATTAGTTGGAATTCTGAGCGATTCTATTTTTCTAAAATAATCTTCGCTTCTTTTAAAGATCGGTGAATGCTTCACTGAAATTGTTAGCTGTTAGCATTGTTTTATGGTTATTGTATTATTATTGTATGGTATAAGCAACAACACCAAATTAATTATTCCTTCCCTTGTTTGGGAATATTAGGAACTATATGATGGCAAATATTAATCGAAAATATGAAAAGACGAGAAATAGTCATAGATAAATAGGTGAATCTCTGCTGTCATGTATTTATATTAATTTGCATCTGAAGTTCACATTTGCTGTTAAGGCACAAACAAAGATATTACAAAAAAAAGTTAAGAGATCCTATTGAAAATAATACGGTATAATAGAATATACTGTAATTGCTCGGCTGAAGAAGATTGGAGGGAAATTAATCCATAACGCTAAGCCGATTTTAAATCACTTTTATGCCATTTATATCGATATAGGATAAGTAAACTAAGTGAATTTCTCTTGAAAACACTTTGGTGACAGGTGTTAAAAATTTATTCCCTCGTTTGATCAGGTTTTCATGCCAAATCATTGAATTAATCTGATAAAAAAAAATTCTTAAATTATAAAATCACGAAATGTTATGCACTGAAGCCCTAGTTTTCCTTCTTATCTGGGATGCTATCCAGAAAAATATAGTAGGGGGAGAATTGGATTAGATCGATATAAATTGAGAAAAAAATTCCTTTGCATTCATTTTGCTAACTTGGGTATACAAATATAGTTGAAATAACAGCATTAAAAACGGGTCAACGGAAAATCAGAATCCCAGGAAAATGATAGGCTTCATGGATACTTGAAAATTTGAAATGAATTTTAAAACGACAAGATATATTGTAATGAAATCATATAGGCAAGCAACTCACTTGTTCCACCGTGTTTAAGAGCCAGTCATATTTCTATCCTTAAATGGGACTGCTATACTTTTGAACCTTGAAGCAGATTCAGTAGAGAAAGATTCTCAAAATAATTGCAAAATAAGCTGGTCGGAGGAGAATTTGTGAAAAGATATATTTCGAGATAACGGAACTAATCACATGCAAATTCAGCAAATTTTCTGCTTCATTCGCTGAAATCATTCTACGTCGTTTCATTTCATGTCACCATATGTGACCTTTTGTTTCCCAATGCAAAAGTTTGGGCTCAAAGTAGGCCTGGATCCTGATCATTAATTTTTCATGTATAATTTGCTAAATTAGTTTACTTAAATAATTATCCGATATCACAATCATATTTTTCGTGATGTCAAGTTATTTTCTCTATTTAAACATCTTTTGTTTGCACTGTGCGTGGGAAATGAAAAATAATTATTATTCATTCCAGGTCATTGTTCGCACTATGCATATGAGATGAAAAAAAGTAATTATTAATGCCGTTCTATTAAGCAGATGACGGTGATCCAACATAGCTATACATGTACACTTCATCAAGATGAGGCAATTATGGGGCAAATACCTTTTCTGCTCTTTTTCATTGCTTTTTTTTCGAATGGACCACTAATCTCTTCAGTAAATAGGAATTATCGCTTCCATGAAATAAAATTGCAGTTCTCTTCGTGGAATTTCACGATTCATTTTATTTTTGAGTTAAATCTAAATATGATGTAAAAAAAATCTGCGACAGAACTCCGATATGAATTCTTGATAAGGAAGAAGAAAAGAAAGGCGACAGAACTTTAAATAGTTGATCGCAGTGTTAAAAAAAATTTTGATAAATATTTTGCACAATCAGCACCAAATCACAATGTAAACTATTGGAACAAGCAATCCAACAATGTTGCTTCATTCGTCTCTAGCTTTAAAGCGAAAGTAATAATTTAAGACCTTCTAACAACTCTCACCGGTTAGGCTGGCTCCAACAGCTACAAGGGTAAGACGTCTCCAAGCTGCTCAGTCCGACGCCCTCGCTAGTAGTAATAGAAGCCATTACTTTTCCATCGTCCATCTTTTTTCATTTAAGATCTTAGCCTCAATCCATTCATAGAAATTACCTGTGGCCCATCTTTTAATTATTTTCTTCACCACTACTCTCGATTAACGGTTTCTAAATCCAGCATATAGCATTGCTAGTCAGCATAACCTTAATCCATAAAGATAGTCGAATTATTGAAGGTATGTCGAAGACCAATAAATTTTAGGAACAAATGAAGATGCCGATCCCTTTCTTTCGTTATATTCAATCAATTTATTACTAAACGACCAATCAATGGATGCCTGGAAGGAACGAACAACAGCCGCGTCGATGATCAATCTCGTTTTTCTCCCCGCCGCGCCACATAATTACTACCCCTCTGATCGAAATTTCGCACATTTCCAACGTTGACCACCACAGTCGTTTTTTTTTGTGAAATATACGATTCAGCAATGCCTAAAATATGAAAGTTCTCTTTATGCTCAGCACTAATTTAGGTTTTTACAATCTTGCTTCCATACGATTCTTTTTTTCTGAGCCAATGATTCCTGTTATCTAATTATACTTAGTAGTGTTCTAACCACCCTATCTTGAAAATTGCAGTACAATTGCAATAAAAATGACTCATTTTTTGCTTTCACATTTTCATTCATTCACATTTGCGAGCCTATCTTTCACTTCACGGGGCTAAATTTATGAAAATGATTATAAAATGATTATCATTCTTTTCGTAAATATCAGTTCATATTTGGTCCATATTTTTAATTTTTATAATTCCTTCAATCGCCTATAAAATCAAAAAATATACTAAATGGTAAATAAGCAGCAACAAAAAATCCAATAATATTTTATTAAATAAAACCTCATAAAACTATTTTCAACAAATTACATTAAATTAAAATAAAAATGGATCTAAAAAAAGATCAATCTAAAATATGGTTCGAATTTATGACGAAATAAAATTTAAAAAAAGTCGATAGGAGAATTCAAAAAATTAGTGAAACTAAGAAAAACTCAATATTCACATGGAAATTTCTTTTAATCGTTTTGAATAACTTGACAAACCTAGTATATAAGAAATAAATAAACCAGAAAAAGTGCCTAATTAAAGAATTAAAGAATTTGATGAATGCACAAATGGATATTCAGAACGCCGCGAACATTTTAAACGACAAAGACAAGAATTAAGATAAAAAAAATTTAGCCATTTTTAAGACAGCAAGATTGAGTAGCTCATACTCTTCTTCTCCTAACAATGCGAAATCAGCTCCACTGATAAAGTGACAGTTTCGCCGAAAGTCATGAGAGATGAACAGTGAGCTTCCGAAGGTCATTCGAATCATACTTTATTTTCCTTTTCTAACCAAGGTAAAGCCAACTGATGATTGAATGCCACTGGAAAGAGTTTGCACTTATTCATAGAAAAGATGATTTTGGATGATTTCCATAGCAATATTTTAAATAAACTAAAATAAATAAACTTATTTAAAAAGATTTAAAATAGATTATATAGATTATAGATTATAAAAGCTAACTGAAAGTTCCATTTTGCATTTCACTACATGTGAGTAGTGAAATGATCAATGTCTTTTCGGTCCTCGTTCAATTACGGGCAGTGTAACTCCATTATATGTTACATAAGTGACTGAAACTGAATCATTGTAGTGAAATGGCAAATCATTTTGAACATTCCTTTGATTATCTTGTTCCGTTAAATTTTGCTGAAATATCATCAAACTTAATAATGAAAAACAGAAAAATAGAATAGGCTAAAAAAAATCCGCAAAGAAATTCAATTCAAGAAACAATTTTTAGGAAGTTTTTTATAAAAAGGAAAATGTTAATAGACGCACAAAACAATTCAGTAAAAGGAAATCGCTTAATTCAAAATAGTAAGATAGCGCTAATAAATCTCATGAAGAATCCTATTGCATCGAAGAAGGAAAAGAAGAAAAAAGGAAAGACCAAATGACCAAATGACGAGAAAATAGACCAGATAAACAGAATAAAATTTCCAACAAAATTAAAAATTGGAAAAAAATGAAGATCAATTGAAACAATGAAAAGTGAAACTGAACAAAAACAATTTTTCTAGGACAATCACCCAGTTTACCTAAATGGCCAAACAACCAGAAAGAAAATTAATCCTAAAAAACAAATCTCACGAACCGTTTCATTTACAATTTCGTCTTTGATATTCTTTATTGCTTCTTTCTCCTTTTCACGCTCATATTCACAAACCATTAATTTCTCGGTACTTTCAGGAGCACCTGCCTCACCGACAACGAAAGCATTGATATGAACAGGTTGATCTGAAAATTAGTGATAAAAATTTTCTTCCTAACTCATTGGTCGAAAAAATTCTTGAAAATTATATGCACTTATGGTATGACAAAACTATTTATATAAAATTAATAAACAATTAAAATAAAACAGCAAATTAATAGAATAAACTCAACTGAAAATGTGAGCGAAATGTTTAAAGAATTCACCTGTGGAATTCACCAAAAATTCACCTGGACAAGACGACGGATTTGCAATCTGGATCGTCGTCATATGGCCGTAAAACACTTTCGGCGGAATCTGAAAAATTTTTAGTTCATGAAAGAATTATGCCTCTAATGCATGAAGAAAGCACTAGAAAGAACACGTATTCTTTAGGAAAAGTTATCTTTTCTACTTATTCACATGAATTCAGATTATCAAATATATTGGTAGCATATTTCATTCGGTGTAGAATAAAGGTCGGAAAAAAAAAAGACTTGTGAGGACGACGATGCTTTGTTGTTGTCGTAAGCTATAGCCATTTTCGACGAATTAATAGTTGATTGTACTGGCTGGCAACTGTTAGAAGGATGAGGTAATGTATCCGCTGAATTCAATGATGAAAAATTACACGAAGAATTTGATGGTACAACGCGTCCTTTTGGTTCATTTTCTGGTTCCTTATTCAAATTTCCGTGATCTTTGCTAAAAGATTCAAGAATTCTTTCGGTGCCATTCTCATTGTAGCCAGCGCTAGACTGAGTATTAATGGCAACATATGTTTCCTATAAATACTTCACGATCTTACAAAACCCAATAATTGAAAAAATTTTACATAAGAAAAGAAAGCTTTCTAAAACATACTTTACTATTGGTAACATTTTCTCCGACTATAAGCGATTCATTTTCCTCAGATGTTTTCAGCTCAACAGATTTACTTTCGGTTTCAGTAGGATTATCAATAACAGTGGCTACATTATCCAATAATTTTGAAGTATCTGCATTAGACAAATTTGATTTCTTAGAAATTGTTATTGATTTCGACGATGATGTACTTGCTCTTCCACGTTTTTGTACTGCACGTGACATTTGCTGTTGTTGCCTTGATCGAGAAGAAAGTCGTAATATAGAACTATCCTCATCTAGAAGTTTGGAATTTTTAGAAGATCGACGCGTCTGCACCATATCGATAGAATAGCCAGTAACAACAGAAAAACTAGAACAATGGACCGTTGTAGCCGTTTGTCGAGGGAGAGGAAAGCCCGCGTAATATAGAAGACGCCCTTCCCTTTTCATTATTTCCCTTTTTATGCTTTCCCTTTTTTGTATAGACCTCTTTTCTTTATATATTATTTGTATGTGATTCTCTCTTTTCTTTTATCTATTCTAACCCATCGCATAAATAATAAAGGGCGATGAAAAAATGAGAGCTGATTGCTATTTTCTTTGACCTCCTGAGGAGACCTAGAAAATAATGAAAGGAAAAAGGAGCAGAAGGAGAAGGAAGGGATCGAGGAGTGCGAGAATTTGAATGGAAAGAAATGAGGAGAAAAATTTTATGTGTGAAAAAAATAGAAATAAACGAAAAAAAATTGTACAATACTCAGGTGAATCCATTATCTTATTTTATTATATAATATTAATTTGGCAAATGTACCATGCGAACTTTTTCTGCCTTTAACTATCTTCACATATCTTCAACTGCTAAAAGATGAAAAAAAAGAGTTTGGAATAAATTTTGCAGGACAAAAATAAAAAATCTATTTGAAAAAAATATACATACCACAATCTCCAAGCTGTTGAAAAGGGGTGAGACTTTCCTCGAAGACACTTGGGCATAAAAAAACAGATGGACCCAAAAACCAATATATTATTTTATACTTAATAAAGAAATATATGGAATCACCTGCTTCGATATCACTATTGTCAAAATCATCATCATCTTCTTCTTCATCTTTTAATTCTTCTGCTCTTGCCTGTGCTGCTTGTGCTAGACGTTTTGATCTTTTAGGCATTTTCTTAGTCAATGATATTGTTGACGACCTTTTTCGTTCACGTAATTTCTTTTTATGTGCCATATATTCCTCGAATAGCCTATTATCATATATATTCTCACGTGGTTCCCATGTATTATGTCTGCAAACAATACCTTTCACTTTGATCTGGTTATTTTACCATAGAAAAAATCTATAGGAAAAAAGATTTTCACAGAAGGAACAAATAAAAGGAACTAATAAAGAAATTAATAAAGGAACTAATATATCAGGAAATTTAATGAAATTAACCGATCTGATTAATTTATAAATAAAACATAATCCTAAGGTAACGAATTTAAAAATTTGAGAAAAAATTTTCAAAAAAATAAATTACTAAAATTATGATTAAATCGGTGGAACTAATGATTCGCTGCCAGTCACATAATAATTTTCATATCTTAGTCAATAATTTATAAATTATTATTAATTTATCAATAATTTTATCTTTTATATTTCTATAATATCCATATAACTTGCCAACAGCAATTAGTAGTGCTAACCAAATCAGAAATGGAGAGTTAAAAGAGAATGGTTAAACCAGTACTTATAGAAACCATAATCGAATAAAAGGAGAAAATTACAAACATACTTTGCAGACCATCCTTTCCACTTCACTAAGTATTCCACTTTACCCTAAAAACTAAATTGTTATTCAGTGATAATTTTCGACCTTGAATCCTTTTAATTTATATGCTGATTAAAGTTGATCATAGTTTTTTTTTTACTTAATTATTAATGTCAATGAAAACCACTAATTTTCTTAATAATAATGCAGAAAATTACTACTTAATATATAATGTACTACTTAAAATATTAAAATAAAATCCGACATTATCTAAAGAAAAAATTTATTTTAACCCTTTTTTTCATAAAAAATATTCTCCAAAAATAATACGAATATCTTAAGAATATTTCCTCATAGTTTAATCGATTATCGTTAAAAATAATAATAATTCGTGACCAAGGGAATACGAGAACGGCTTGGCACGATAAAATATAATATCGAGCACAAACCCTAAATAAATAAATAAAAACTGATAGCATCAATTTCGATATTTTTATATATTTCTAATAGAAAAAATTGGAAAATTTAAAAGCATCCATATTTTATGGGTAATTTATGAAAATAATCAAGGAGGGTAATCAATTTTTTAAAATTGAGACTTAATGCTAATTTACTAAATAAAATAAATATTTATATTATTCTATAAAGTATATATTAATGTACAATGAATTGATTAATGAAGAGGAAATTAAAAAATAAAATAAGAAAAATTGATTAACCTCCCGAAGAAAAAAATAAATAAAATTTTTAGTACGACGAAAAACTTTGAATATGCATATGCAGTCAGTTGGCAAAAGCTGATGGGCCGGATTTTTTGATGATATATTTACTACTCTCAGAAACAGAGCAAAAACCTTGATGCACTCGAAGCAAACAATAACGGTTTGGCTATTCAGCCTTTACTTGATCGAATAAATTAAGGATCTGAGTCTCAATTTAAATCTTAAAAAATATCCGGCTGCCTTAAAAAATCTTCCTTTTGTATATTTATTTAAAGTATTGAAAAAAATATTAAGAAAACTGAGATCAAGAAAAATACTATAAAACGAAAAAAAACATGGATAAAAAGAAAAAATGCAGGAAATGAATGAGAAAAAAATAAAAAATTTGGGTGAAATTTTTGAAAAAATATGGGGATTAGAAAACTAATATTTGGCTTTCTAACATTTTCAAATATTCGTAGCTTGGAAATGTTATCAACCAAAGTAAATAAGTGACTAGCGCTCACCACTTTTCGATTAGCCTAGCTCCATTATCTAGAAGAAAGTCATTTGGTGACAGAAACACAGGTGCATCGCCAGAACTTTTTTTTGAAGGGTTTACTCCTGTTAGGGCCAGGTGCCGAAAATCTGATCCTCTGCCTATTTGGCTTTGTTTCATCTAACCAAATGGGCTCGATAAATTATTAAAGCAAAAAATTTTTTAAAATGAACGCTTAAATATCTTCACGGCCTCCGTTAAACAACACGAAATTTATCATAAATTTTATAAAAGTTTTTAAAAATAAAAACGTAACCTTTCGACGACGGTCGGCAAGCAGTGATTCAACCGCATAAACTCCGTCATCTATTGGTTCCATAGGCATTTTTACTCGATCCAACTGGTACTCCTTTCTTTAATAGAAGTTCTATGATGGAAAAATTCATTTAATTCATTCTATGATGGAAAAATTCATAAAGATTGAACAAATTGAATTTTACAACTCAATTTTAAATTAAAGTTTTACAATCGATTTGAGAAAGAAAAAAAGAAAGTTATTAAAGTTATTCTCTTCCGCCCACTGATCCGACCTTTTGACCTCCCGCTGACCTTTTTTAACGAGTCCGACCTTCAACCCCCCAAATAAAAACAAATAAGGGGGGGAAATATAAAAAAATGAAGCGACAAGACGACGGAGCCGAACTGCCGTTATCAAAAACGTCGAAACGCGTCGCGCATTTGCTTTTCCTCATCGTCTAACCTCTCTCATAAAAAATACTCTCTAATTGCTCACTTATTTCTCTATGTTCTCGTAGATATAACAAAATTTACGTGTATCTTTTCGTTTCTCTTGATTTCTTTGACAACTCTTCAAAGAAACCATTCTATATCATCATAATATTATTATTGCTAAATGAAAATAGTTCACCAAGACTCCACCCATTTCTATTATGGCAATAAATATGACTGGTTGATTAAACAGACGATAAACCCGCCTACATGGGTAAACTGTTAATGCTTCTTGGTTTGTATAGGATTTTAATTTGGTTGAGATAATGAAGAATACGGTTGATTTGTGGAGGCAAATAGCCACGCCCATAGGTTGATGGGTCCATCTTGGATCCGAATACTCTCCGCCCATTTAGGACTGTTTTTTTACAAAAAGTAGTGTATAACGAAGTCTTATATATGGGAAAACCCCACCTACGCGGAAATGCACAAAAATACCGCTGCAAGACTTTTTAAACTGCAATTATCTCCCAAATCTGAAATCAACCGCTTATTTTCGAATACAGACGTACGTAGTACCGAGTGATTGTTGAAAATCGTTGCCACGTATGCTGTATATTGTACATGCTCTTCATTTCACGTATATGTATATAAAATAGAAACGAAGGCTTTCATATTATGCATATTTTCATACATGATGATAATAGTGTTTTAATATAATTTTCTCTGATTTAGAAATATGAACAGTAAAATTTAAATTAAATTAATTAGTTTTATTAGAGTATTAAATAATTTAGTTAAAAACTGGCAAAAAAATCTACATATTTACAAATTTTTTTCTTTCATCATTTCTTTTTATTAATAAATATTTTTATTAATAAATAAATAAAATATAATATTTTATTTATAAATATAATTTTTTATTATGTTATTAATAAAAATTTTAAGTAAAATATTCAAAATAAAAGATGGTTTTCGGTGCGAAGTTTTTCATTAAAAAAACAGAAAATTTCACTTATAGTTTTGGGATTCATTCAGGGCTTTCTTCTATCTAAAATAGGAAACGGAAACGGAATCCATGGTACTTCAGGACCCGTAAGAACTCATCAGTCGAAGGCACATTGAGGTCGTTCAAGAAATCTAAAGATTTTCTATGATATCTTCTGCAAAAAATAGTAAATTTCTAAAACAATAGCTCCTTTAGTTCTTTTCTAATTTTTCTTTTCTAATTTTCACTTGTTTAGCTCATTAGCCTTTACTGGACAAAAATTATTAAATTAAATTAAATTTAAATTTTAATTAAATTTTTATTAAAAATTAAAATTTAAAATTTAATTTAAATTAATTGCTGCCAAACGATATTTATTCCTTGGGATAATTAAAATTCGAAAAAAGATGGTATGAAATTAAGTGGTTGGTACTATTTCTGGTTAGATTAACTCCACTGTTAATATAGTTGGAAATTTTTGTCAGATAACCATTTGGCGGTAGAAGTGCAGACAGATCATGAGTATTACTCGGTGATTACTCTTGTCTGGAAGTACGATACTCGACGCGAATCGAAGCAGCCATCGTACTTGACCATCCTCAGCGCCTATAAATATTCCCAAGAGTCAAAAACTGTTATTTATGTTCATCGCAGTACCTGTAAATTTGTGCAAAATAAACTGCTTCTTTTGATCTATAAAAATATCAGTGAAGTTTTTCACAAAACCTAAAAATTTTACTATCAAACTGTTACAGAATTCTTGTTACAGATTGCAGATTCTTTCGAGAAGCAAATAATGAAATGAATAAAATTATATCACTGAATGGTTGTGTCGGTCTAAAATACCATATTCATCCTGCCTTTTCGGCAGAGAATCACTTGAGGATAAAAGTATAGATGAGAATCAGCACCGCTCGGATTTCAGTTTTAATAATGCTCAAAGGTTAAGAAAGCTATCATGGCTAAAGCTTAGTTGAAAGAAAAAAAAGCTCGTCTTTCCGTTCTGTTTTTCCAATATCTACGATATTCTTTGCTATTTTTGCAATAAAAATCTTCTTAAGAATCGGGAATAAGATGGCTCAGTGAGGTGTTAAATTCAGAGCGTGGCTGTTGAGGTTCTATTCCCCATAGGAATAAACTTACTTAAAAATCAGGATGATACTGGCGATTCACCTGTATTTCTATCGCTAAGGGACTCCCAAGCATATTTTTCCAATGCATCCAAAGCCAGAGGAGCTACTTTAACCGATGATGGTGACGATTTTTAAAAAAAAAGAAGCGATATTATAAGCGATATAAGCGATACAAATCCATAAAATTTAATAATTCATAAAGAAAATGAAGGTAAAGTTCATCTTATTTTTTTGCAAACTTGCTTGGGTTCACTGATGTTGCTTTAAGCAATAATTGCAAAAATTTTATCTGCTATGATTGCACGATACATCTTATGCATTTATCTTTTATATATTTGTATATTTTTCTGTATAAACTACTAATAAATAATTCTTATAAAGTTTAGTGGTGTCTCCCTAAGTTTACTCCAAAAACCTTCAAACCAAATTGTATGTAAGTGAATTCTGTTATGAATGATAAAATTATCAGAATAAAAAAAATTAATTTGGTGGTAGGAACTGAAACTTATTTAAATTAAGTATACTTTGTAATATGCTAGAAGTGCACATTTTAGCCAACTCTTATTCCATGTCTAACAGATGTCTAACAGATTCTTGCAAGGTGATAAAATGGTTGCTCCATTAGTGAAATTGAAACCCAGATATGTCAGGAATCCATCTATGTTTCTATTCACAAATAAATCAAATAAATCAGAAATATTAGGATGACTTTCAAATAAGAGAAATCCGACCAATGTAGCCAATTTTGTTTAAATGAAACTGCGCGCTCATTATAAGTAAGTCATCGGTTGGTAGATTCATAGTTTATAATTTATTTGGAACTTTGAGCCTAATCAAAGAATATAAAACTATAAAGTAAATACAATGATTTCAAAAATTTATTGGGAAATTTTAAATTAAAGAAATTTGTATTTTGATGAAATTTTCAATTATACGAAAAAATTAGTTAAAATTTAATTATCTAAATTAAAATTAGGCAATTTAAAATTTAAGGAAACGAAGCAATGAAGCAATGAAATTTATGTTTTTAGATTTTGAATATATCATTAAGATTGAAAATCTGTTCAAGAAATGAAAAATTCGATGCTAAAAAACTTTTTAAAAATTTCGAAATATTATTATTTACCAATTTTATTAATAAATGCTTTCAAGCACAAAGTTATATAACCAATCGTTGGATGGTGCCTCATTGATTTCATTGATATTTTGGATACCTTTCTCCTTTGCTAAACATAAAGGGTTAATATAAAATTGATTGAAAAAAATTTTTTCGCTATGGGTTTGTGGAGAATTCATTTATTCGTTTCAGTCAAACACCTCAGAATTGGCCAGGTCTTGTCAGATGGCATGTTGAAATTCGAGTGAGAGTATCAAATATCGTAACGAGTTCTCAGCATAGCCAATCAAACCTGAATTGATTATAGTTTTAAAAAATGCCGTGAACCGGCAAGTAAAGCAAGTACTTCTTTTCACATCAAAATTCAATACTATTCATCATTTTTCACCAAAAATTTACTTAATTTTTAAACTTTTTTTCATCATACTACTTTTTTTATACAGATTTATACAGTACTAGTCATCTTAATCATTCGCTAGAAGTAAACTCGTCATTTAAAAATGACCCACATGTGTTTCTATCGCTAAGTGTCCTCCCAAAAATTCCTAAATGTTATTAGGCAGCGGAACACTTCTAAACCGAAATGGTAAGCATTAGCCAGTTTTATTATCTGTTGGACTCTGCAAAAAGCCATTTTGGATTTTATTGATTAATAAATACATCTTATATTATAATTCGATAGATTCATGATTTAAAATTTCTGGAATTTTCGGAAAATTTTCGAAATTCGGAAAATTTAAAAAATGAGAATTTATTGAGAATAACATAATTAAAAGAAATCAATCAATTACTTACAATAGTCGAAATTGCAAATGGCTATTGTGCTCGTATCTACTTATTTTAGCACTAGTGCCTACTTATTTTAATGTTGGAAAAGACTAACGAAACCATTCTAACAGTAATGATCTACAGATCATGAAAGATAGATGGATGAAATTAAGTATGAAAGCTAAAAGTTGATGATTTTTTAAAACAAAATAAATTAAATTATTATGTTTTTTAAATTATTAAGGATAAATGACATTGTGACTATGATCGACTATGATCTTTGTAAATAATCATTTTATGAAAATGTGGCAGATGGAGTATTCATAATTTTCAATTAAGGAATTCCATTTTATTATAATCGTTAGCAACTTCTATCGAATTCTTTAAGATAAAGCAATTCACTAATTTTTCGACGAAATTTTAATGATAATTGATTCCGATTTAACGAATTCTCGATTGGTTAGGATATTAAATCTTGCATTATAGTTGAATGGATAATGACTGAATATATCGTAGAAATAAGGAATACTTGCCTCTAACAAAAGCAAACCTCTTTTTAAAGTCCGAGTGGTACTAGCGGTCTAATTGTAGTGGTTATCACACACTTATTACTAATTACCTTTGCTTAATTATTTCAATATTTCGCATAT